GCCCTGTGTCGCGCTGACTTCACGATTCTCACAGGCCCGCTCAATGCGGACAGGGTACGAGATGCTCACGCTCTCGAATGCTGCCGTTTGGTATGGTCTCTTCCAACATCCTGTATCAGCATTATAAAATAAAATGGATACTTCGAGCTTTGCCTTCACTTATTTCTTTGCTTTTAAAACTATATGTAATGTAATTTTAATGCATTTTTTACAGGCCCAGTAATGGTTAAATACGTCAGCTTACTGAATAATTTTAACTTTGTTCTTCTAAGGATACAGCTTGTCTCTGGATTTTCCAGTCTTAATTTTATATTTTATTAATCTATTTTAATGCTTGCTTTTCCCATTTATAGACATTGTAGCAGTAATTGCAAGAAGTTCTTGAGCTGAATTCCTGTTGTGTCGACTTCTCCTAAGCTTCTGAACACAATTCTACTATAATAGTTGATATAACCTTCTTTTCTAGTTGTATTTTCTTAACGGATAAGCTAATAATACTCTATAGTGGTCGGCACAATTCTTAAACTTTTTGGACCAGAAAGGTCCATCCACCAAAATAGGTTTTGGTGGTGGTTTACAGGTATGATAGATGTTTTGTAACATCTAAGGCTATAGAAGCATTTTTCTCAGTAAATTTACAGCTTACGATGAAAAACTTGTCTTAAACATTGGCGCACATGTGGATTTCCAGCTCATGGACTCTCCTGTTCAGCTTTAATTTTAAAAAGCACATATTTACATGATTAATGTTGATATACCATATTTACATAAAGTGGGACATAGGGGTATCTAAAAAGCAGTTTTCTGTTAATAAGAAAAAGAAAACTTATCTGCCCGCTGTCAGCTTTCACAGAATGACTTTTTCCTCTCTTTTCTTCTAGGTGGAGAAGCAGTATTTTCTCATTTGAAGATTGATTTGAGGTGGCACGTGCTACCTGCAGCTCAGACTAGTTTTTGTACGAAGTTCATGAATTGGAAGTAAGACGTTGGGTCCCTCTGAAGTTTGAGTTTTCATTTGAAACAAAATTGCTTTCACGGTCTTATTTTTTAATTATTATGCTTAAGAATCAATTTGTTTTATGCCCCTTTCTCAGTATTGTAGCGCGAGTCTTGTGTTTAAAAGCCCAGTGTGATGGTGTCATGATGTAGTAGTGTCTTACTGGTTTTTTAATAAATCTTTTTGTATAAACGTGTATCAACTCTTTGTTGCCAGAGTGAAGACACGTGCACATTTCCAAACTGAAGAGCAGTTTCAGTTTATCACCAGTTAGTGGAATTGCATTACTGGAGGAACCGCATTAATTAGTTTACTGCCTGAGAAATTGTGAAGGAGACTTGTTTTTGGAAACAAATTCTTTTTGGTTTGTACTGCCCAGAACAAAGGTGTAATTATCTTTTCAAATAAAGTGCAGAAAGAACACTGATCTTCATGGAAGGCTGAATGGTAGCCTAGCTGCAGGGAGAGGAGCAGGGAATGAAGTACTAGAACTGCTGATGCTGACTTCCAAGCCAACGTGGATGCTGTTTTCAAGAGGAGGGAGAATTCAATATACTGCAGGCTGGATGGAGCTATAGCTGCTGTTTTAATAACAATTACTGACCAGCAGGTGCCTTTCCTCAGCAATTTGGAAGGCCTCTTAGGCACTCTGCCCAGGAAAAGTCTGCTACCGAGCAAGCACAGCAAGAGGTTTTCCTGCAGTGGAGGAGCAGAGAGCTAGGGTGTAAGAGGTGAGGGAGAAAGCAGAGGGGGCTCTGGAACTCCCTGGGTCACTTCAGTGCAACTCTATAGGTTGCCATTTTGTTTTGGTATTCCATGCTGTCACTTTGTGCTTGGACTCCCCCAGTCCTCAGACTCGTTTCCCACAGTATTCTCCTGGAGAAGCTGGCAGCCTATGGCGTGGACAGATGTACTCTTCAGTGAATATGAAACTGGCTGGACAGCTGGGCCCAGAGGGGGGTGGTGAATGCAGTTAAATCCAGCTGGTGACTGGTCATGAGCACCTTCCCAGTCATCTTGGTCTGCAGCAGCTCCTTGAATTCCACCCTGATACTATTTGTCACCCAGTTCCTGACCAGGACCATGCCCCTGGTCTCCCTGAAGAGGAAGAGGGCACTGAGGAAATGGCACAGTGAGTAGATCACAGAGTCACAGATCTGTAGGAGTTGGGAGGGACCTTTACAGGTCATCAAGTCCAACCATTCTGCCAAAGCAGGCTCCCTTCAGCAGGCTGCAGAATATCTACAGGTTAGGAGACTCCACAACATTCCTGTGCTTCATCATCTCACCATTAAGTTCTTTTGTATATTTGTGCAGAATTTGTTACGCTCCAGTTCATGGCCATTTCCCCTTGTCCTGTCCTTACAGACGACTGAAAAGAGGTTGGCTATATTCCTTTGTCTCCCACACTTAAGATATTTATAAACATTAATCAGATCCCCTCTCAGTCTTCTTTTCTCAAAGCTGAACAGACCTAGTTCACTCAGCCTTTCCTCACAGAGGAGATGCTGTAGACCCTTTATCATCTTTGTGGCCCTCCCCTGTTCTCTCTCCAGGAGATCCTTGTCTTTTTTGTACCAGGGAGCCCAGAACTGGATATGGTACTCCTGGTAAGGCCTGAGCAGGGCAGGGGAGGATCAGCTCCATCAACCTGCTGGCCACACTCCTTTTAATGCACCCCAAGATGCCATTGGCCGCCTTGGCCATGAGTACACCCTGCTGTTGTCCACTAAGACCACCAGGTTCCTCTGCAGAGCTCATCTCCAGCAGGTCATGTCCCAGCCTGTACCAATACTTGCAGTTATTCCTTTGCAGGTGCAAGACTCTACACTTGGTTTTGTTAAACCTCGACTGATTTCTTAATGTCCAGCTCTTCCCAGCTGGTGCCTTTGAGGTCTCACACTGTCCTTCCCTTGCAACATCCAAGCTGGCAGAGAAGGAAGAAAGAGATGCAAGCCCAGTGTGAGTAAGAAGTGCTTTTTATTGGCCCTCAATAAAATGCATTTTCAAACTCCGTGTTTGACTTGAACCAAGGCCAGGTGCCCTCAGCTGCCTCTGTGGGACTCTGCAGGCCGCCATTTTGTTTTGGCACCTTGCCGCCATTTTGTGCCCAGGTTCCCCGGCATGTGAAATGCCACAATTGGCTGCTGGCCATGCCTGGCCGTGGTGTTACCGGGCAGCCCTGGGACTGGCTGCCACCTCCCAGTGGCCAGCTACTGCTCCTGCGTACGTCCACGTGCATTTGTAATAGGCAATACAAATATAGCGTATGTTATACGAGTACTTAGAATCACAGAATCGTAGAATCACTCAGGTTGGAAAAGACCTTAAAGCTCATCGAGTCCAATCACGATCTAACCAAACTACCCTAAACTTAGGGCAGTGTAAATAAATTTCTACTTAGATAGGACCACATAAATGTCGTCTGACGTGTTTCTATTTTGCATTAATACGTAGGTATGAAGCTGTTTTATAAAGGTACATAACCCTACACGCCCGCCGCGAGCACCACTTCGCGCAGCACCTGAACAACTCCGCTCTTGGGGGGCGGGGCCAGGAGCTCTTCGATCTGGGATTGGGCAGAGCGAAGGGAGACGGGGCGGGATTGGCCGTGCCGGCGCCATGCTGGGCTGTGATTGGCGGGCGGGGAGGGGTGGGGCAAAAGCGGAAGACACGAATTGCGCGGACAGCCGGACTCCGTGTTGGCTGGCTGTGGGTTTTGCTGCTCCGCTGGCTGTTGTGCTGCGCAGCGGAGCGTGCCGGCGAGCTCGGTCGGGTGGAGAGTGGGGCCTGGAGCACCACGGAGCGGCTTCGGGGTCGGTGCAGCCCGTTTGGGCTGAAGCCCGGAGCGGAGGTCTCGGGTTAGGTATGTCCGGCAGCTTTGGGAGCGGTTTGGGCGCTGGTGGCGGTCGTGCTGGTGCCGGTGGTGGAGAAAAGCGTGTAATAAAACAAAATAAATGAAAATAAATCGACCCTCACCCCTCCGCCGCCGCCCCACAACCGCACGGGGTCGGACCTTCCCTGCGAGAGGCTGCCGCCCCTGATTCCCAGTGCCCAGGCATTTCCCAGCACCGCGCGTTGCGCAGGGTCCCAACGGCGGCAGTGCCCCCGGCCTTCCGCATCGCACACGGGGTCACGTTCAGTCCTTAGCGTGGGAGCAAGGCACGCGCTGTGCTGCCAGCCCCAAAACTTGTCAGCACTGTGTTTCTGGGGACTTCAGTGAGCTCGTGGGGCAGTTCGAAGGGTTCAGAAACCAAGGCCTGGTCATGGCTTTGTGGAGCTTAAAAAAAAGGAAAGCTTAAGTCTTGCACTTTCAGTAAATGAAAACGGAGCTGAAAGTTGTGTGTTCTCGGGGCTCTCAGGGCAAAAAAAAACAGCTGAGTTCTTCATTTTCAGAGCTTGAAAACGGAGGGTGTTACATTTTGGGCATGACAACAAGCACTGAGGGCTGGTTTTGGAGCTCAAAACTGGAGGCAGCCATGCATTTCTGAAGCTCACAGAAAGGCTTAAGTCCTACATTTTTTGTGATTGGAAATGTGGGATTCAGTCCTTTGTTTCCGAGACTCAGAAAAATATCTAAGTAAGTCAAGTCCTACCTTTTTCAGGCTTGAGAATGCAGATTGGGTGCAGCATTTTTGAGCCTGAAAACAAGCTGTTCAGGGGGGTTGTAAACAGGCAGAGTGTTGTTTCTGAAGCTCAGGAAAAAAAAAAAGTTAAGTCCCACCTTTTCAGTGATTGAAAAGGGAGGGTAAGTCCTGCATTTCTGGATCTCAGAAATTAACTCAGTACCATGCTTTGGGGGCTTGGATACAGGAAATAGGCTGCTTGTTTGCAACCCCCAAAATGGGAGCTTTGTGGATGGGCAAAGTGTGTGCAGGGTTGTCTGGGGGAGGGGAGAAGGGAGAGGAGAAGAGGAGGAAGGAGTCAAGAGAGTTCAAGTCACAGGGGTTCCCAAAGCAAGGGACACTGGCACGCACCAGGCTGAAATAAGTGTTTTACATCATTTCTGGGTGAAATGGCACCATCCAGGCTCTGCTCTTTATTTAATGTCTACACATCATCCAGAAATACTACTTTTGTACGATTATGACAGTTCATATTAATATGTGAGTTATGACAGTGATTGATTTATGACCTCGGCACAAGCCTCAGTTGTCACAAGTAGCTGGAGGTAGAATTAGCCAAACACAAGCTTTTATTTAATTGGAGTTTCAATTAGTTTAACAAGAGAAGCCACATCAATTATGTGGAGATGGAATTAGCCGAAGCTGACTCTGGAATGTGGCCTTGAAGAATCCATATCTGTAGCTTCTACAACCAGAACAACTTCAAGAAAGAGGAACAACAAGAAACGATCTGGGACAGCCATTAGCCAGACTGTTTATGAGCTGGACTGTGCACTGGTCCAGAGCTGGAAAAAGCAGGAACAGAGTTAGAATTACTTGCGTATCTTCCCAGAGAAGCAAGCAGAATTAAGTACCTTGCTGTACAGCACTGGTGCCTGCAGGGCACCACTGGTCAGGCCCTGAAAACTGTCACTCTTTCTTGAGCCCCTGATTGCAGGGGAAACGGATGGAGCAGTCATACTGGCAGCCTATTAAACACAGCAATAAGGACAAACAGCTGCTGAGTCAGGAGCCAAGGCATTCCTGATAAGCTTAGTAGGAAGAGCAGCGTCCTTGAGTGCAGGATGGAGAAACTAGGATAACTAACTGTGAGAGCAGAGTGGGCTGCCTGGAAAACAGCTGTCAGCAGCAGATAGGAAGGAGATCTCATTAAATAATGGAATTATGTGAATTGGAAGGGAATCTTTCCAGCCTGACCTTGAATGTCTCCAAGAATGGGGCTTCATCCACCTCTCTGGGCAACCTGTGTCAGTGCCTCATCACCCTTAGTGTTAAAAAGTTCTTCCTTATATCCAGTCTCAATATCCCCTCCTTTAGATTGAAACAATTTCTCCTTGTCCTTTCAAATGGACCCTTTCCTTCTTATAGCCCCCCTTTAGATACTAAATGGACACTCTCAGGTCTCCCCAAAGCCTTATCCAGGTTTCCAGCAGGAAGGACGTTGCTCCAGCGGCTCCCACCTTCCAAACCACATCCTAAAACCCACCCATGCATTGACACTGAAAAGGGATAAAATTAACTCAGTATTTACCCAGGAGCAGATTTGCTGTCAGAGCTTCTCTGCAGGAGGTCTCCAGGGCAGACAGGACCCTGGTGGCTGGTGCCTGCTGATGCTGGGTGCTGTGACACCTGTAGCAAGACACTTCTTTGCCTTCAGCTGGCCTCAGTCCTGGGAGCAGTTTGGTTTCTGCCACACTGGAACCACCTTGGGTAAATGCATATAAACGTGCAGAAATACAAGGCATTGTTAAATACGTAATCACTTCCGAAGCATAATAAAAAAACAGAAACAAAGCCTCCGCGTCCCTTTGTATTACAGAACTCCGCACGTCCAGTCACCACCACCTCACACCCATGGGCAGGGAAACCTTTTCAGCACACAGCCAACACCCATGCAGCCCCAGTGTTCCCAGAGGAGAGGAAAGAGGATCCCCCAAAGGGGTCCTTCAGCGGTGTGGGGGAGAAGGGACAGGGCTGCGGGAGCTCAGGCTGGGGGCACAGTCCTCACCTGTCACTGGTGTGTAGGAATCTCTGGTGCCCTGAGCTCAAATGCCTTTGTGCAGCCAGGCAGCCCACAAGCACACATTTTTTCCCCAAATCTGAGGGCTCTGGGCAGGTGGGCTCTGTGCTGTGGTTCCTCACGAAGCTCGTGCAGACATGAGAAGCCATCCTGTGGTCCCCACCGCTTCCCTATCCATGCCATCACAGGCCCTACTGCTGCATGCAGGGGGGAGCTGAGGTGTCCACAGCTGGCTTGGCTTCTGCTTCCTTTTTTTTTCCCACCAAATTTTGCAGTCAAGTCCCATCCTGATGCAGGTCTGCAAGAGAAGGTCTCTACCTGGTGTGCTCGGTGCTGTTCTGAATGCTCAGCAGAAAGCAGCATGCTGTTCTCTGGAGTTGCAGCCGGACACCAAGAAATCATAAAATCAAAGAACAGTAAGTGAATAAACACAGACTCACACACAGAAGTGAGGGCAAGCACTGCTATTTATTGACTGCGTTACTGAAGAGGTGGGGAGGTAGAAAATCAGTGGAGGGGAAAAAAAACAAAAAAAAACAACACAGCAAGCCAAACAGTCCTAAAGGGCAGCATCAACTTCACAGGCAGGAGAGCAGCATCTGCAAGAGAAGGTGGTGTTGAGGGATGGAACACACTGGGCCCGCTGGAAAGGGGCTCTGGGTCACCCCGGGCGGCGGTACAGCGCAGGGAGCACTCACCAGAAGGTGCGCTGCTCTTTCCGATAGTCAATGTCTCTCTTCAGCTGGCAGAGAGAGCACATGGGGCAGCACAGCACCGAGTAGTAGTCACCCAGGATGGAGCCCTGATGAGAAAATGCCATCACATGAAAAACCCCTCGTGGCTGAGCACCCATAGGGCCACCCGACATCGCTTCCCCCCAGCCCACCACTGACCGGGATGTTGTAGCGGGTGCGGTACAGCGTCCGCATGGCCACGCTGCCGCCGCACAGGCAGAACTCGTCCATGGCGTTGGCCACCTGGCAGCCCAGGCAGGGATAACAGAAGGCTCCACAGATGCCTGTGAGAAATGGAAGCCCCCGAGCTCACAGCCTGACCCAGGCCAGGAGGGGAGCACAGCAACACTGCCAACATCCCCTCAGGAGGGACCCAAGATACGGGGCTGGTGCCTACTCACAGACGCTGCAGTCAGACATGCAGTCCAGCAGCCCCGTGTGCCACTTGCTGGGCTGTGGGGATGCAGAGAAGCCAGGCTGGATTGTCACCACGTGGCGGGTGGCCATGGTCAGGTCTTTGCACAGAGTGTCCTGGAAGGAAGGCTGGTGGGGAAGGACGGAAGGGGTGTCTTCCCTCAGCAACTCCAGGGCAGCTTGCTTTTTTCCTCCATCCTCCTTCCTGCCCCACACCCAGCCACCATCTCCCATCCCTCCTCACCATCAAGCTCCCCAGGGCCACCAATGCTGCTGCAGCTCCTCTGCTCCCATTCTTCCCAGCCGAGAGGCTGCAGCCTCTACCTGACACCCACTCCTCCCTCTATGCCCACACCCATCTGCCCCAAAGCAGCTCCACTTGAGGCCCCTTCCTTCTTCACCCCACCTTGCTTTCTCTTCAGCTTCACAGCTGCAACTGTTTTTCATTAAGTGATGGCAATGCCCTGCAACATCCCATGCAAAAAGTTCCATCTGCTCTGCCTGCTCTGAATGGGGATACAAGGCATGGCTGCTTTGTGCTCTCATCCCCAGCACAGGAGTTAGAACCCAACCTCTGTCCCTTGCCGCTGCTCCTTCTACACAATGCCACAACCCCACTCCCACTGGAATACCCATCACCCCTTCCCTTGCCCAGGCAGTGCTGTTTCACCCCAATGTCCCACAGTCTCACCCCAAATCCCCCTCCAGCCGCACACACCTGTCCTGCTCCTGGCGCCGTGCTGCCCTGCCCCACTCCCCATCCCTTTTATGCACTGGGTGCTGCTAACCTATGCTCCTCCTGGCCAATGTCCAGGTGCCCCGCCTGCACAACGTCCCCACTGCTCCTGCAGTGATGAGGAAGCCTGCTGACGTGACACAGGGTGACACCTCCACCAGCACCCCACATGCATCCCAAATTGCTTAGGAAAGGTACAATCGGGAGAACCCTGGTGGAAACCCATCCACACAAGACATAGAGGCAAGGCAAACATTGCTCTTTATTGGGGGCATGAATGAAGGGGAGACATGCAATGGTCACAGGTGGCTCCGTGCCCCTTTCCCATAACGCAGAGGTGGAGTCATCTCTATGGCATCTGCAAGGGTAGAAGAAGGGGCAGTGAGGAGGGGGAGGCAGCCACATATGCCGTCCCATGGCGTGGGGCACAAGGAAAGGGCACACCGACCAGAAGATGCCCATCGCTCTCCTCCGATTGATGTCTCTCTTGATCTGGCAGACGGAGCACACGAGGCAGCAGGAGGAGATGCAGCAGTCGGAGCAGATGGAGCCCTGTGAGAGAGAGGCAGGCGTTAGGAGTGGGGCTTCCCAAAAACACGTTTTGGAACCGAGGAGGCTGTGCTGAGCCGGTCATTCTCCACATCTCAACAATTTGTCGCGATCTGATGCAGAGCAGCGGGCCGTCCTGCCTGCAGGAGATGATAACGCAGAAAGGGAGACATGATGGCTTACCACCGGCCTTGGGAGAGCAACTTATCTTTTGTTTTCTCGGTCTGAGGCAGGGGGGAAAAAGCACACACCGCGTCCTTCCACCGCCCGCGCGGAGCCGATCCCCGACGGGGAGGGCAGGAAGGGTGCAGAGCGCGGCCCGCGGCCCCTCCGCGTGGCTGTGCGGGGGACTGAGAGACAAAAGGGGGAGAAGGGAGCGCGCCCCACTGACCGGGATGTTGTAGCGGGTGCGATACAGGGTCCTCATGGCCACGCTGGTCCCGCAGAGGCAGCACTCGTTCATGTCGCCGGCCACCGTGCAGGCCAAGCAGGGGAAGCAGAACAGCCCGCAGCAGCCTGCAAGGGGGCACGCACGGTCGGAACGCGCTCTCAGCCCCCGCCGCCCGCCCGGCCCCCCGGCACTCACAGACGCTCCAGTCGGTGAAACAGTCCATCAGCCCCGTCTGCCACATCGGCTTGGCGTTGGTGGCCATGGCCACCGCCTGGGGCTGCAGGGTCACCACGGTAGGGACGGCCATCGTCGAGAGTCAGGCTGCGAAAGGAGGGGGCAGCAGTCAGGAGGGCTCGTCCTCGCAGAAGCCCCGCGTCCGAGCCCCACGTGTGCCAAGAGCTGCTGGCACCGTGCGGGGACACGCAGCGCTCGGAGGCGCCGGGAGCCGGGAGCCGCTCCCCGGGGCTGCGCTCACCTCGGTGCACCGACGGGGGCGAGGAAGAAAGTGATGCCAGGCAGCCGGAGCTTTGCAACAAATTTGTTTCTCCCCCAATGAATGCAGAGCTCCTCCCTGTCCCGCGCGTAGACTCACAGCCCAGAACAGAAACCGATAGTCAGCCGTGGTGCTGCCGACCCTGCTCGTGGGGCCCCGACACCTGCAGCAACGGGACGAAGCTGCAAGCAAGGAGCAGCCTGCCCGTAAATCAGCTTTTTAACGGCGCCCCTCGTTCCCCAAGTAGGACGTGGCAAACATCTGCATTAAGCCATTCGCTGAGCAGGGGAAAGTAGAAAAATAGTGATTTGAAGAAGTAATTACACAAAATATTCTGTTAATGTTTGCTTGCAAAACTGCAGTAGTACTTAGATGTCGTGCATGATATTTTTGATGTAGTATTGTAGACGGGAAGACGTTGTCAGGACGGTCTGCTTTAACAAGGCAAAAGAAACAACAACGGAATGACATGCGGACAGCGAGATGTTCCCCTTTGTCTTCCCTATCTGTGCGTGTAGAGACTATTCCAATTGCTTTTGCATTCCACAGCAATCTCTGGGACAAAAAGAGTTGGGAGGAAGTAAACGACCCCCAAGGACTAACAATGAACCATCACAATGCTAGAAGTACACTAGATGACATCGAAGATTGCTACATTAGGCTATGTCTGTTAGGCAGTCATTGGGGGTGAATAGGCTAATGAATTTGGGAATGTAGTGAATATCATAGAATTGGCAAGGTTGGAAAAGACCTACAAGATCATCCAGTCCAACTGTCCACCTATCACCACCAATAGTTCTCACTAAACCATGTCCCTCAGTACAGCATCTAAACGTTCCTTGGATACCTCCATGGTTGGTGATTCCACCACCTCCCTGGGCAGCCCATTCCAGCAGCTGACCGTTCTTGCAGAGAAGAAGCATTTCCTAATGTCCAACCTGAATCTCCCCTGGTGCAACCTGATGCCATTCTCTCTCATCCTATTACTATGTATGTAATACATGGGAAAATATAACCTGTTTATGGACAATCAACTGCGGAAGCATTTTTTGGAGAGTTATCTCAGTGCTACCCCAGCGCTGCCAATAAAGAATACTTTGCTTAATGGTAACTAAACTTTGCTGTTAAGTTCCTACTCATCAATTTCTTTAAATCAACACACACGTACATACATACGCATCATTTTCCCTTGCTATCCCACTCCTCCCAGGCTGGGGAGCGTGCGGCAGCACCGTGCTACTAACCTGTGGAGGACAGCGGGGCACAGTGGGGCAAAGGCACCACTTCTGGCAGCAGTGCTCGGAGCAGTGGGACGTGATGGCAGCGGGACCAGCCCTTCCTGTGTGAAACCACAGCTCCTGCTCCACCTAAAGCCAGGCACCCCGTCTTGCTCCCACCTCTTCCCCCAGAGACCCAGGGTGCCTTCAGGCAGCAGGACAGGCAGGACCCATGCTGTTATCTGCTCCCTGCATCTGGAGTGAGACTTGTTGAACGCGCTTTGAAGAAGCGTTGCCCTCGTCGGCTGCTCACCAGACACCCATTTTCTGCTGCTGTACGAACACCTGTGCTTTCCCTCTGCTCACGGTCCCACCAAGTCCTGCAGTAACAAAGTGCTGTGTGTGCTGGAGTGAGGTGCAGCACAGCCTTGGAGAAACACAGCGTCCAAGCAGGGATCTGTTTCTAAACAACACCTCTTCTCCCACCTGCGGCACAAGCCCTCACCCTGAGATGATTTGTGCCCTGCTGCACACACACACAAAACGCAGAGGCACACACAGCTTTGGGCGTACTTTGTTTTCCTTCACCTTGCAGTGTTAGCTATATTTTTACACGTTGCTTTTATACTGTGTGGTATCTGGGCAGGTTTCCTTGTTGTTTTGCCAGCCCTGTGCATACAGACACTTGGTGGGCAGAGGTATTGTGTTTCCTTACCAGCAACATCCTGAAAAAGAAAGACGCTGTGAAACCCACTCTTCCACTGCCGTTTCCTGTATGTTTGAGGTAAGCACAGAAGCATATCAAGGCTTGGGGTGGAAGGAACCTTAAAGCCCATTTATCTCCAAGCCATGCCATGGGCAGAGCTGCACCCACTAGCCTCAAGGCACCCCTGCTGCTGCAGGAGGAGCATGAGACTTCCATAAATGCTACAGAATGTGAGCTCTTCTCAAACCAAAGTGGCTTAAAGACACGTTAATATGTAAGAAACCAATGAGTAACTTTTGCCATAATCCCTAAGGTACTGTTAGAAACATTAAGACACTTACTTATAAATACAAATTACATTACTACGTTCTTGTATTACCCCAGAAGTGCTTCATAACAAAAGTTCAATAGGAAGTTGAATGCATTCAGTTTTCCCTCTTGATATAGGGTTAATTTAGCAAAAGTTTTCACTGTGTTTCTTGGTGGAGATGGGTGTTGGCTCCTTGCCTTGGATGCACAATGCTTGCTTTCCTAAACAGAGCTTTGTCTGCTTGATACAGGTTCGGTGTATTTCTTTGTTATCTACTTGGTACGTACAAGGACTTTATAAGCAAATTATTTAATACTATGTTAGCAAAATTGGGAACAAAGAGTCTTTCATTGTAGCAAGGCAAGCTATGGGAACTACCACCTTAGCAAAAAAAAAAAAAAAAAAAAACAAAGAAGAAGAAAGGCAGTCAAGGGTCAGGAAAGAGGAAGAATATGATGGATGGGATAAACGACCATCAGGGACCATCAGAGGGTTCTATCATGCATGCCTGAACAACAGTTCTACATATTAATGAGTTCCCAAAAAATGTAAACCGCTTCTCAGGAATACAATGAATATGCATCTCCCATGTGAATAAAACATATCTCTAACTTTGTGGGTGTGCACTTGGCTTGGTCCAAGATGCCCAGCACACTGAATAAAGAATGCCAGCTTTCTAACATCCCATTGGAAGAGTTTATTCCTGTATTTCAGATGACACTCTATGAACTGCAGCTTTGTCACATAATCGTTCAGAAACTTACCGCATTTTATTTTTACAACTGGAAAATATACTTTAGAATTTCTAGGCTAACTCCAGTGTGGTGTTGGAAAGCAGCATTCCCTTATTCCTCGCAATATGTACTGGGTAACTTGACAAATCAAGCATGCACTCTTGGAGTTCAGGTTCTGTATTTAAACAGTTAAGACATACATATGCAATGCATTTGTATACATATAGATTATTTTCCAATAACTCATTAATATATGCAAATGTCTCTCTGGACACGTGCAGTGGGGGCCTATGATGGTCGTAGACCACTTAGTTCCCCTTCTCTATTTCATTTTCAGCTTTATCACGGTATCATTTGGTCGTCCCACAGCTATTTTTCCCTAATTTGGCAAATTCCCATTGCTTGTTACGCCATAATGAGCAACTATCTTGGTGCACTACAGCTTCAACCAATTTAAATGAAATCCAAGAAAAAGTCCTTGCATCTGGTGGTCCAGGTAGAAGAAGACAAAAGTAATCTATTCTGACTTCAGTGCTTTAGTGAAGCAGGATTGTTCAGAAAAACAAGACTGTTCCCATACCAAGTGAAAGCTGAACTTGAAAGTTTTACAGCTAGCACACATCAATTTCTTTTTGCTAAACTAATCTACTGATCCCTATTGCTAAACCAGCCCGTATCAATGATCAAAAAAGCTCCCCTCAGCTGACACAGCTGTGGTTCCTGAACTTCTCACCTCTTCCAACTTTTGGTGCAGTCAGGCCAAACAACCCGTTGTGATTTGTTCAGAAGGTATTTGATGTCACCAGGTGTTGTTTGGTGTTTAATTTGGCAGGTGGTTTTACCTGAGTGGTTTAGTTGTTGGCTCATCCCTTCCCAGTGAGATGTGGGAGAAAATTGGGGAAAACAAAGTAGAACTTGTGGGTTGAGATAAAACTACTTAATAAGATAAAGGAAAAGGATAATACTTATGAGTATACATATATGAATGCATATAACAAGTGATGCACAAGCAGTCGCTCACCGGTGCCCCGCTTGCCCCTTTCAAAACTCTCCTTCTACATGATGTCATATGGTATGGAACGTCCCTTTGGCCAGTTTAAGTCAGCTGCCCTAATTCTGTTCCCTCCCAGCTCCCAGGGCTCTTTGCTGTGAACGGCATTGGCTCTATACAGCACTGCTTAGCAGCAACTAACATCAGTGTGTTATCAACACTGCTTTTCTCCTAGAACCAAACATAGCATCACATCAGACGCTCTGAAGAAAATAATTCCTTCCCAGCTGAAACTTAAGACACCAGAGTAGACAAGCGCATGCACACCACCTACCAGCAGGTGAACAGAGGTCAGCTCTGGCATTTTAGGTTCCTGGAACAGGTGTGCCCGTTGCTCCCTCCACAGCAAGTCCCACAGTGCAGAGGCTGGTAGACAAAGAAAAGTGCAACCAGCCAACCATAAAGCAGTGGAAACCTAGGAACGGTTTGGAGCCCTGTAGTTTTAACCTACTGTTGCTATTCTCACTTTTCACAGGCCTCCTCCTACAAACAAGTTCCTTCCTCAAGTGTAGAAATACAAGAAAGCAGAAGGTAAACAACTGGAATTAAAAGGAGGAAATAAGATTCACTTCTCAAGTCAAGTTAGTAGCCTAGAGCCAACCACCACTCATGCACACTTGGCTGGCGTTAGCTGCTGATTGTTAAGTTGGTAGTCCACATTCAAATCACAGAATCAGAATCATAAAATCACTGAATGGTTGGATTGGAAGGAGACCTTAAATTCTACCCACCCCAACCTCCTGCTGTGGGCTGGTTGCCCCCACCAGCTCAGGCTGCCCAGGGCCCCATCCAATCTAGCCTTGAGCGCCTCCAGGGATGGGGCATCCTGGGCAGCAGTGCCAGGGCCTCACCGCCCTCTGAGTAAAGAATTTTTTCCTAATGTCTAACCTAGATCTTCCCCCCTTTAGTTTAAAGCCATTCTCCCTCCTCCTATCAATATCAGACTCTGTAAAAATTTTGTCTCCTTCCAGCTTATAAGCCTCTCATCAAGTACTGGAAGACCACAAAGAAGTCTCCCCAGAGCCTTCTCAAAGCTAAACAAGCACAAGTCTCTCAACCTTTCTTCGTAGGAAAGGTGCTCCAGCCCCCTGACCATCTTCATAGCCATTCTCTGGACCTGCTTCAATGGCTCTGCATCCTTCTTGTGCTGGAGGCCTACGCCTGTATGCAGTCCTCTGAACAAAAGGTACTCTAAAATACTTTCTGGTGACTTTCTCTGTATTCAGAGCTCACGGAGCACTGACTGCATACAGACATGTCAAATTAAAAATCTGATTACTTCACGCAACAAGCTCCATCTCAGGATGTAAATTCTTTTGAAATAAACCATGACACCAAACACGTACAGACAGATTTTATTTACATACTGGAATTGCTTTGCATTTTCCCACGTCCTGCCACTGAGACATCAGTCTTGTTCTGTACAAACTGCTGGGCTCAAAGTCTGGAGAGCAGACCAGGAGTTCCCTTGTATAATATAGGACCAACTGAGCAGCCTCACTACTAGGGAGGTTGAAGTCGTTCAAGAGTAATCACAGCTTACATTGTAAGATAGTCTCATGTGCTTGGTTTTGTTGTGGTTTGTTGGTTTTGTTTGTTTGTTTTTAGAAAAAAAAATCATCAGATTTTTATAAATAAACAGAACCAGAAATAATCATGTTAAAAGTGCTTCTCCCCAACTTAGAGATATTAATTTTAGCCAGATTAAAACATCAATATGTACAATAATTTCAACTACCTGCTATCTAAAGTCTCTTCTACAGTTTCAGAATTTTTCCTTTTCCAGAGATTTCCAAGCACGATGCCTATGAAGAGCAGAACTCCTACAGTACGATTTGAAGCAAATTTCTTCCAACAGTCTTCAGGCTTATCTATATCCAAAGTGTAAATCTGCAAAAGCACAGTATAAACATCCCACCATTAGTATTATATTGACACACAAAGATTTGACACAATACAGTCACAGGAAGGTCCATAAACTTGAAACCTCTCAGGTTCTAAACCTACCCTGAGCCGCAAAAGAAACAGGAATGCTCTGTGCTTGCAGAGGATGGGATTACTCGTGGACCTGACTCCTGGACCCTCTCAATGAATCATAGTACAAGCAGTCTAGATACGCATGTGTGCAGTTTGATAATAAAATCTGTAAAAATGTCCGAGCAGGTAAAGAAGCCTTCAGAGATTTTCCTCAGCAGGAAGGCAGCTAATTCTTCAACAGAAACTTTAAGAAGAAAAACAGCAAAAGTACATTCCTGCGCTTTCCATCTCTCTGCTCATACCCTGTGCTTTGGTAGAAACAAGGCAAAGGAGGAAAAGCAGTGGAGCTGCTGCCCTGCCTGTCCTGCCCAGCCACACCACACACTACAACTGCCTAATGCTCAGCTGCTTCTCATGTTTACCTACGTCCCCTTGCAAAGAGGAACTAGGACAACTGCTTGCAGCAAGGCTTGCCCAGCTTGGCAGCTGTTCAGAGCTTGAGATGAATAAAACCACACAGTGCAGCAAGAGCAAAGTTATTGAAAAACAAGAGCTAGAAATGAAACTTGATACAGAAGTCTTTCAGGAAGAATGATGAGAGTAAAGCTTAAACAACAAAAGTGAAAGCATTCCATAGAGACACCTCCCAAAACCTCAAGTCCTGCAATTCACCCCTGCACTACCCAAGAAGTCATGAGAGAGCACATTCAACTGAAAGAAATAAAAGCCTCCCTGGGAAACCCATTCCTCTGCCGTCTGCACTTGGGCAGAGATGAGGGGATGGGTTCTCATCAAACTACCTGAAATGCTGCCTGCACCTCTAAATCCCATGTTATTCACACCTTTAAAGCCTGTCAGCACCTTGAGCATAGAGAAATGAAAATACGAGATGGCTAAGTGAAACCCAACAGCAGCCAAGCCATAAGATGTACCTTCAGAAACACAAACCAAATTAGACATCTCAATCTTCTTCAGCAGTACAGAAATTTGATACCAGCGTGACCCAAACTCCTCTCTCAGGGACAGATTCACTAACTTAAGGAAAACCTACTCCTTACATGGCTTATTAGGCTCTTTAAACTCTGTTAGGCACACATTTGGAAGTCTTGAACAACGTGAAAATTTAGGCAGAACTAATATTAGAGTAGTCCATAGGAGGGCCACTAAGATGATCAGAGGGTTGGAGTAGTGCTCCTATGAAGAGAGGTTGAGGCAACTGGGCTTGTTTAGCTTGGAGAAGAGAAGGCTCCAGGAAGACCTCATTGTGGTCTTCCAGTACTTGAAGGGAGCATAGAAATAGGAGGGGAAATGACTGTTTATGAGGGTTGATAGTGATAGGACAAGGGGGAACGGTTTTAAACTGAGACAGGGGAGGTTTAGGTTAGATATTAGGAGGAAGTTTTTCCCCCAGAGGGTGGTGATGCACTGGAACAGGTTGCCCAAGGAGGTTGTGGATGCCCCATCCCTGGAGGCATTCAAGGCCAGGCTGGATGTGGCTCTGGGCAGCCTGGTCTGCTGGTTGGCGACCCTGCACATAGCTCCATACTCTCATAGCAGGGGGTTGGAACGAGATGATCATTGTGGTCCTTTTCAACCCAGGCCATTATATGATGATTCTATGATGAAAAGCTACGCTGTGGCATGCTTGTATGGCTTAGCTATTGTCACACTCTTTGCCCCTTACATCCTGCACCCTCACCAATAAAATCCTCTCTGCAGGAAGGTAATTTCTACTTGTGCCACCACTAGCAATGTGAGGCATTCACTCCGCAGTGAAAAGTAGAATGCTTTTCCCCATGAATTTCCACAATCCTTGTGGAAAGCAGTTGCTGACAGGTAACAGACCATAGTATTGCAGGAGTTTTATAACCCACTAATATGTTTAGTACCTATGAGCTGCATGAACTTCCCTGCTGAAGAGTCACTTAAGTATAATGGGCCCTAAAACAGCAAGTTTCATATTAATTCCATTCTTCACCTCTCAGACTGTTGACAGTATTACTGCTACGTTACTACCACTCGCCTGCGAAGGCCAGCAATTATTTTTCCTAAGGGCTAACTTGTCACAACAGGACTGGAGAATGCAGTCATTTGGATAACAAGATCCTATCTGCTTCCTTCATGGGCAGGCTCAACTTTCTTTTTTTTGTTTTTTTTTTTTTTCTGATACACATTAAAATTTGTAACCCTGCATAAGTACGAGACTGAACTTTACTGTTTTCTGCTATAAAAACAACAGTGAATTAGAACTGTCAGATATCAAGAAATTATAGTATTGACATTTACTACAGAAGATAGTGAAAAAAAACATAGATGCATGATACTCAGGTAGATCTAACTGCAGCTGCTATCAGAAGCAGGAAGACATCACAATTTAAGGTGAGCCAGAAATTATTAGAAACAGATTGAAAACCAGTGCTCTACAGCCTACAGACCACTGGAGGTCTCTTCAAAAGAGAGGTCTGTAAAAGTTACTTATGAGAAGCAAGCTTTTGTCAAAAGATTTATTTTTACACAGGTATTTACAAGATGATTGTTTTTTATGTACTTGGTTTGTGTGTGTTTGTTTGCTATGGAATTGCCAGAGGTTGAAAAGTGCTCTGATTCCTTATCAAGAACATCTATGCACAGAAAGTAGAAACAAATCCATCAAACCTGATGTGCTAGGTGAGCACCTATGGCAGCCACTGCTGAGTAATAGGGGAAAGTCTGGTCACAGTTCATTCCTGCCACACACAAACCCAAGACCATTGCTGTGCTGAAGCCGCTGAGCCATTGCTTTGTATCTTCCTTGAATTTCAATGCTGTGGACTTAACACCAATAACGATGTCGTCCCTCTTATCCTAGAATGAAAGGGTCAATTAATAGAACATCTATAGTCCAACTTAATAAGGAAAGTAAAATGGGAGCCTTTCCAAAGCCTCCAACAGTTGTTAACAGGAACCCTATTTAAGTGTATTTGTAGGTCCCCAAATTAAAATCCCAATTAAAAGATAGGTCCTTAGAGCTGCGTTAGCAGCCAATAGCTAATACCAGCTGCACATTTATTTACACAGTGCAGACATGGGGGCATGAAAATCACCGTACACTTCCAGCTTTTTATCTGCACATAACACATTTGCAAAAAGCAATAAAAGGTCCAAGGGCTGGGCTTCCTTTGGTGGTCATCTGAGGGTGAAGAACTGCAGCAGGTTAGTATGACAATTTGAAACCAAGGCTGTATATTAAGCAAACAAACGCACACATAGCTGTAAAGTTTATCACTGCAGCTCTACCTGGTGAGCATATATGGTGTCATAGACCAGGGTCCACATGACTCCAGCAAAGTATAAGGGCAGGCACACGGACCAGTTGCAGGACCCCTGGATGGCAGACCAGCCAAGGAGGGCTCCCCAGTTAAACGTAAGCCCTAAAAACAAAGAGAACCAAATGAAAAAAGTTAAAAAGGTGCCAGGAGCAGTCTGAATTACATATATACAATTCTATCATTTGCTAAAGTATATTGCATGCCTGCAGCTTTTTCTACAGTACTGGCATCTCTATTTTCTAGCACATAGTTTCAGTCAGGTTAATTAATAAACATAATTTGAAATTAAATACCGGAGATATAAGGAGAAATAAGCACAGCTACATATTCTCCTCCCATTTAAATTTGATTTTGTTATCTGAAGGAAGCATTTGCTCAAAATTATTGCACTGCACTGACATCAGTGCACTTCAATGTCTGTAAAACTGACTACAGAAGAGTTCACAGCAGCCAAGCATGGCACTTCCAGGCTGAAAAAGGCAATTCTGGCTGATAAAGCTGAGGGCAGCTGGAGTGAAAAAGCCAAGGTACACAGAGACGTGTTAGTGGCACACTCTGAAATGGAAGCATCATCATCTTTAGTATAGGACTTGATGCAGAGGCTGAAGACTGAACAAATGTATTTTTAAGAAAGGTTTAAAGATAACCCTTAAAGTAGAGCTGTTTCTCAAGTGCTGAACATTCATTCCCTCTCTCAACAGTTCAAAAGACAGGATAAAAAAATGAGACAGAACACAGCTCCTGTATGTGTTATACATTGCCTAAGAAGCTTCTGGCACAGCAGAATGTTGTTTGCAAGGTAATCTTATTTTAACACATAGTTGCATAAAACCAGATTGCTGAAGCTCAATTACTAACTAATTAGGGGAACTCCCCAAAAGCTAGATCAGAAAGAGGGAACTGAAAACATTTCCAACTCACCCAAAACTAACTGGGGCCAATATGTTATTCTCTTCATCAGAGGGTAGGTGACCACAAGAGACAAGGAGGCTGCTCCCAGGATGATACTGTAAAAAGTACAAAGCGACCTTACTGTTTGCTGGTCTGAAGATCACAAGACACTGTATAGCATTACACGTGCTGAACTACTGAACTACAAGTACTGAACTACTTCCATGACTTCAACCTCTCTGACCCCAGCACACTTGCTGCTCACAATTTTCATACTTAACAAGGACAAAGAAGGAAACTCTAAGCAACAGAAGATAACTTGTATGCCACCTGTAGTAATTCAGACACAGAAGCACACAGAGAGCCAGGCTGAGCTGTCCACCAAGGAAAACAAAGGACTGAAAAGTGGAGATTTCTCCAGCTGCCAGGGGTCTTCCTGCTGTCCTTGCAACCTAAACATGGAAAGAATCATGTTAATACACAACTTAACATATTCTGAATGTATCTCAAGAGTTAAAGCCACACTATGTTACACAAAGCATGTAAAAGGATAATTATTTTAACGCTAACTGGGGTCCAGTTGAATTTAGTTCATCTCTCAGGAGTAGAGAAACCATGCCACGCAAACTGATGGAATAAACAAATATTAGAAAAACCTTTAAACTGAAATATACGATGAGTTAATTGCCAAATGTGTCAATCATCCAAACAAACAAGCAAATCCACAAAAACAAAAGGGAAAACAAGTTTTGCATTTGTAGGCAATAGTTTAATGACAGTTTGGGGAAGTTTGAAAGCCAACTTCCTACAGAATACTAAATAGGTATCAAGTGTTCTGCAAATGCCTTAATAATGTGAACTTAAATACACCCCCTTAATTTGTTTTCCTTCTTCTCCTAAATAACTTCTGCTAAAACTTCAAATACTGCTTTTGCAGTTTAAATATGTGCTTTACACTGCTGTGAGCAACACTACTGCACATCAAAACTAGGACATGGCATGATCCGCTTAAAGAAAAGAATAAAATACACATCTACCAAAAAATCATATATATAATGTATATATTTTATATATATATAAAAACCAAACCCCAAACCATGACTAGCAGCACAGACCAACATCCTGCTACTGACTCAGCCTGCAGCACACTTGTTCTGAAGGCTGCCTTTTGAAGTATATAGGAAAGTCCTGCTATGGGAACGTTCCAGCCTTTACATTTAACCACATCAGATTAACGCATAAATGTCCTCCACCAGGTCAGGCTGCCAAGGGCCCCATCCAACCCAGCCTCCAGTGCCTGAAGAGATGGGGCATCCACAGCCTCTCTGGGCAGCAGTGCCAGGGCCCCACTGCCCTCTGAGTAGATTGCTGCAGTCCTATGCAGTAGCATTACACAGTACAAAATTATTTCCACGACCCTAGGAAGAAACACAGACAAATGAATTGCACGCGTGCTGGAAAAAGGGACGGAGGAGGAAAATCTCCACCTGTTTGTCGTAGTCACGGTCCCACAGGTCGTTGATGGTGCAGCCAGCCCCACGCATAAGGACCGCCCCAGCGCCGAACAGGGACAGCATGTGCCAGTCGGGTAGGCAGCCCGGCTCAGCCGCCAGCCCGATGCTCCAGGTGCACGGCAGGTACAGCAGCCACGTCCCTGCGGGCAGAACGAGCTCAGAACGGGCAAGGGGAGAAAGAGAGCGTCACCGAGCAGGCTCATGCCTTCATCGGGCACCGCGCCCGCCCGGTGCCCGTAGCCGGCGGTGCCGCGCTCAGCGCCGTGGCAACCGTGCTCCCCGCCACCGCCGGGGATGCTGTGCGAGTCGCCATGGTTACCGCATCCTTAGGATACCGCGCCCCCCGCGTTGCTACGCCCGCCGCGTTGCCATGGTGACGGCGCCCCCGCCCTCCATTGGCCGCCGCGTCGCCGTTGGCTACCAAGTGACGCAAGCCCCGCCTCGCGCCCGTACCGGCGGGCTGATGCAGGCGCATCAGATGCAGATAGGGCCGCAGCGGACCCGGCGCGGCGCGCACCAGCTCGGCCGCCGAGAAGCTGAGAGGCCGCGGAGGATCCGGGGGGGCGGCCGGACAGCGGTGCGGCAGGGCGGCGGCGGCCAGGGTCGGACGCACGGCGCGTAAGCGGCAGGAAGCCCGGCTGAATCTCGCCAACAGCGCCGCCATCTTGCCGTCGCCGGACGCGCTTCCGGCGGGGCGATGGGGTGCGCACACCGCATGCGCCGTGCCGGCTGTCCGCCGCGGGGCCGCCGCGATGGGGGCGTCTGGCCGGCCTTAACGGCTTTTTACAGCTGTTCCCGGCTCTTTTCGGTGACGGGAATGACGCTGGCATCAATAGGAGACGGCCAGCAGGCCTTGGTTGTGTGGGGGCCTCGCTTGACACTGGCTCTGTGCAGCGGGTGCCCCGCCTGAAGGAGCCAGGTGACAACACAGCAACGCGTTCAGTCTCTCAGCTGCTGTAGTGCAGCATCTCACTACAAGCCTGTCTGCTGTTTAGCTACAGAATTTGCCCGAACTAGCATGCAAAGACATATGTACCCACACAGCAGTGTATGTCTCATTTTCCAGACCGTAAGCAGGAAACATTCACAGTTTCGCAAAGGGCTTCCAGGTCTGCAGCCTCATCTCCTTGCTTCTGTCACCTTATTGCAAATAAAGCATAAACTGGGGACGTGAGCTTTGGATAGAGCTGTAAAAGTTAATCTGGTGAGTGTGATGTGGGCAATAAAAACTTTCCTGAGCTACCATTGAGTGGTTCTTAGAAAACAGTTTCCCTGTCATGCTTCCTTCAGCACTGAGAACTGTTGCACGGTCAAAAACCAAGAGAAACAGTTCCCCAAATTGCTGACTGCCAGGAGGAAGTAAAAAACCGTTGTAATAACAAAGTGACTTTCACATATTTCCATTCACTGTTCTGATAAGTGGCACTCCACAGCTGTAAATCAATGTGCGAAGGACCACAAAAGATACTCCTGCTCTGGCAGAATAAAACTCTTAATTTTTTTTTTTCTTTTTCTTTTTTTTCCATTTTAGTCATGTTTCACGACAAGAACAGCCACCCCGGGCTTAATTCAGGCCTAGGAAATCTCCAGGAAACCTTCACTGCTGTTCATCTATGCTGGAGAAAACCAGCCTGCATCCTGACCTGTCCTGTCAGACACAGCTCACTGTCTTGTTTTGTTAAGTTTTATTCCATTTGCTATTACAATGACAGAGTTTCTGATCTCTGAAATAAGCAATGAGCAAACCCCAGGGCTTCTGCAGGCTACTTTTAAGAAGCTCAGGATAACAAGCTAGAAAAGTTTTTTTTTTATCAATGGATTTCTATTCCTTGTAAAGTACCCTGGCCTTTCACAAGCAATATCTAGGGAAGGAAAGATTTCAGATGTTAAAGAAATCGTCAAAGGTCTTTAACAGCCCACTGCCATCTTCCTCTCACAATTGCCAAATTGTTCCCCATTCTCAGAAGATTCTCCTTTCCCTATTTTCATGTGACTGATATTACTCCACATTCCATAAACTGATTTACAGTAAACCAAGTGTGAGCAATGCCATTTCCTGTGTCAGAAATCAAAACGAATGTAGGAATGCAGGTTGTGGTCAGAGATCAAGGTGTGGCGTAAACGTGCAGATCTGAGTCTCCAGCACACTGGTGAAGGCTGCAGAGCCAGTGCTGTTACCAGCAGGTAATAACCACCCCCAGATGGGCAGAGTTTCTAGGAAAATTGCCAAAAGCTAATATAAATCACTTTATTTAAAAAAAAAAAAAAAAAAAAAAAAAAAAAAAAAAAAAAAAAAAAAAAAGTCCAATATCAAAGTCACAAGCATCAAAACAAATCTGTTTAGAAAGGTTTAAAGAGAAACTACCAGTCGACCTTCAGCTTTTATGTCTGAATTTTAGCTTATCCTGTAATAACAATAATACACTAACAACACTTTATATTGACAACATGAGATTTTTCCACTCATTTTATGCCTTGTGTACTTCCCTTTTTGAACTAGGACAGTGTGAACAAACTTAGCCCTTCTTACTTGTGTTTTGGATACGTATCACCTCCTGGTGTACAAGCCTTCACACAAGGCACATACGCTGCATGGGCAAACACTCCTTTCACACTCTGCATTTAAATATAAATTTTATTATGCCTTTTTGGTCACAATTCCAAAGAACATCCTCTTGCTTGGTGCTGTAAAGCCTTCATGTGAATCACAAGCCACTCCTCTACCTTGAAACCCCACTGAGCCAGTAGCATCATTTTAAAGCTCAAAGAAGGGAAGCATGGTGCATGCTTGCTTTCTCCCTGCTGTGCTCTGAACATTGTAAGGCGCTGATGGTGGTGTGAGTTGCATACTTCCAAGAGAACCAGCTGCACTGGTGGGAACTCACCTTATGCAGGTGAGAAAAGCTGCTGTGAAGCAATTTTCTCCCAAACGGGCTGTTTCCCCAGCAGGAGGGATGCGAGCCCTCAAGTATTGCTCTCAGGATGCTGAAGCCTTTCTGGTGACCTGGCCTCCAGCCTGCGACCACAATCTCCCTACCTGGCAAAAGCAAGTGGCACCGCATGGCAAGCCTTGTTACTCTGTGTGCTCAAATGCAAGCAATAGCCTTAGCGTTCCTGATCACATAGAAACCGTAAGAGAAGGCTGGCAGGCCGAGCATGCTGCCAGGGGCAAGGGTCATCTCGTGCAGTGCAGGGAGTGTCTCATCATCCACCATCTGCAGTAGGCGGCCATTCAGCTGCACCTCTCTGTCAAGGCATGATGGAATACTGCAGGCATGCTCGCCAGCATCATCTTTGGCTCTGGGTGTGAGCAAGGGCACCCGGAGCAGCATAACAAACAGCCCCCAAATGTGCAAGGTTTCTGAGGCAGCCTACATGCTGCTCAGTCCTTGCTCCAAGAGGAAAAGGTGTGGGCTCACCTGGACAGGATGCTGTCCTTGCCATGGGGCAGCAGCAGGTACTGATCCACGCTCTTACTCCACAACTGCTTAGGCAGCTGCAAGCGCTGGGTCATGTTGGAGAGGTTCAAGGCAAACAGTGTCACATCCCCTTCCCGGTATTTGGGGCTGTGCGAGAGAGACAATGAGTTTGGTAGAAACAACAGACACCCACACATTTCCTCTTTGCCGCTGCCCGGGCGTGACTTCACAGCCGTAGTGTTGCCACCATGTGGGCAATTGCTGCTTACTGCTGGGGGTTGGTGCAGTGCAGGTAGACCCGCAGGCGCCGTGCATCCGCTTGCTTCACGCTGGCCTCCAATACCCGGGTGCCCACCAGTCTCTTGTATAGCAGTGACAGCCAGTAGTCCTGGGGGAATGGGATTCATCTCCACCTAGCACTCATTTTTTTGAGGCAACTCCACTTTTGGTCCCCATAGCTTTTCACGTCTCCTGGATTTTGGCAATGCTGTGCCCCTTCTGCGGGGCACTGTGGAGCTGGCAGGGAACCCAAAGGGGACGCACTGCTCTCATGCAGGAAAACCCCAGGGATTTTGGCAGCCCAGTGACATGGTATTTCCCAACAGGTCATGTACGCACCGGCAAGGGCTTGAAGCTGGCGTCCACCAGGTGATAGCTTCCAGCACCAAAGAAGACCTGCCTCATCACCACATCAATGCCACGTTGAGCCGCCAGCCCCAGCTTGTCCAGCCACCTGCCAGGAACCGGCCACAAGTCACACTGGGGCTCAGCATGAGAGCAGCTCCCATGCTCCCGCCACCACTCACATGAAGCCGGCCACATATGTGTTGGATAGCTGGGGGGCCCCCCCACCATATGCTGAGCTGGTCTCACCCAGCCATACCCTCTTGCCGGGCACTGTTGCTTCCACGATCTATGTGGAGAGGGAAGGGAAAAAGGAGACAGGTCAAATTATGTCTGCTGAAGTTACTGCAACCACCTATGCCTGTTGCACTTATTACTTTCGCTAAAATTACAGATTTTTGCACTGTCAGCAGCAGCTGAGTTTGGAGGATGCTTATTAATGGTTGCACAGCAGAGCAGTCTCTGTGCAAAGCCACATGGGGAGGATTAAAGAAGAGTAGGCACCTCCAGGACATCGCGTACGGCTGTGGCAAAGGAATCCAGCACGTCAGGGCTCAGGAAATCTTCCCTCGTTGCACTTCGGCCATTCACATAGTAGCTGGAAATGAAAAAAAAACAACAACAGCTGCAATGAAGGAAAAATATCAACAACGGTACCTGCTCTCATGCAAGCTCAGTCAAACTATCCCTGCTGCTGGGAAGCTGGGAAGCTGCTGAGCATTTGTTCTAAGTGACAAAGCCACTGCCTGTCCTTGCAGCCATGCTGCATCCATCTGGTTTGTGTGAGCCACATCCCTTCCCAGTCACATATCGTTCTGTGGCTGAAGGACTTGATGCAAGCCCCAGGTGTGGGTGGAGAGGTTCTGCAGGTGGGCCAAGGATGCTGTTGTTCCCCACCAAAATACAGCATATGCCAAAAGGCTGCACAGCTCTCCGTGCGAGAGGGAGAGATACAATGCAGCTCTGCATGCCATTTCGAAAAGCCAAGCTGCTGTGCTCTCACTTCTTTGCACATCACTTCTCTTTTTATTGATAAAACATATTTAGCAATAAAAACGACCTTGCACGCACTGCGTTCCCTGCTGCTATGTCTATGCTGCAACTCCTGGTGCAGATTTTGGGTCTTCTTTGAATACTCTGCTGTTTAGAGCAAAGCACTATACAGAGGCACCTGGGACCTGCCTACAGAGGTGTTTCACCTCCTCCTTTCCACTAGCACGTGTGAATTGACATTTCTTAAAAAAAAATAACAGCCAATAAGCGGAGCAGCAAGAGCAGCTTAGGATACTCACTGGTGCCAGGTGACAGAGTCAATCGCCTTCCCTCCGGATTTCAGGAAGCTGCAGTCAAACAAGAGTTATAACAGATACTGGTGACATGCTGCAGCACCCACCCTACGTCCCTGCCTGCCGTGGTCCCCAGATCACATCACTGCTACCCTCCCAGTGGTGTCAGACGGGTCCTGGGCACCCTGTCTACCTTCTGAGCAAGCGCTGGGTGTGCTTGCGGGGCTGCCCCACGTCGGGGCCGTACAGCTCAGCGTGTCGGTACAGGGGGTGCTGGCTCAGGAGCTGCCGCAGGTGGATGAAATCACGTCCCAGCTGGAAGCCATCAATGTAGATGCCCGACTTCTTCCTGAAGCTGTTGGGCTCTGGGGAAGAGGTGCCCATCAGCACCGCCCTGTGCACAGGGCTCATCCCCAGCCAAAGTGGGAGTGCTTACCATTGCCCAGCTCCCAGGAGATGTTGTAGCTGCGCTGTGCGCAGTAGCCTAGCAGCTGCTTGGCGTTGGAGCTGTCCCACTGCAGGCCGGCCCTGCGCAGCAGTGCGTTCAGTCCAAACACCAGGCGGAAGCCTGAGCAGCTGGCGAACGTGTGGAGGATGTCCAGTGTTTTCCCTGCATGGAACAGAAAACAGCTTCATCCTGATACCTCAGCATGGAGTTGGGCACTGTGGGCTGCAACCCGTTGGTTATAAACCCTACTGGGAAAATCCATCAAAAACTTACTTGTAATGGTGGTGTTTTTGTGCTTTTTCCAGGAATGTTCAGCGAGGAGCAGTTTCTCCTGGAGGGGCCACTGGGTGAGCAGCAGCTGTGGAACCACATCAAAGCTGGGCCATGCTCCGCACACATCTGTAGGGCAGAAGAAGGATGGGAGAAACCAAGCTGCCATCACCATATCAGGCAACACACGAATGGTCATACTCATCACAAAGAAATGGGAAAGGTGTGTTGTGGGGCTGAGCACTAGACATCCATTTCTGTGCAGCACGTGATCAAATCCCTCTTACCACCCTCGGCCTGAAGTTCTGACAGGTCTTTCTCTTCCCAAGTTGAATCTTGTTTGGGATTGAAAATCAGGAAATCTGTACTGGTGCCGCCAAACCTCAGGAAGCCTGGGGAGAGCCCACTGGCCAGAGTGTGCAGCTTGGGGTGTCTGTGGAAGGTAAATTAAATGTCAGGGTCATCTCCCACATGGAAGCAAAGCATCAGCAGCATTCAGAGAGACACCTTGCAGCAGAGGATCTGAGCCACTCATCCCATCAAAGTGTGGGCTTCAAGCTGGCTTTGCACCATTTCTCCCTTTTTCCATGGATAACCACCAAATGGATAGATTTTGTACCAAAACCAGAGCATGTGTGGAATGAGTGTTCAAAGTAAAGCAGAAGTTGTGCAGGACATGCAATTCCAGTGCTATCTGGGATGGCAGCAGCCCTATCTCACTCTGCGGGGACACCCAGCAGATACGAGGCCACCAAGCACTTCCTGGTGTCACTGCGACAGCCAGAGCTGCCTGCCTTCAGATAAAGCTGGTGCTGCCTCACAGCTTCAGAGCAATGGGGCAGGGCTAGAATTTGGAATCGGGTGGGTGAAAAGGAAGGAAATTAAATGGCTTTGGGAAAACAAAACGAAACAAAGCAAAAACAACACATAAAGTTGAATCCAAAAGAGAAGAGAACAAAGAAATGGAGCTGAAGGAACAGTCCAGGAGCCCATCGCCTGGAAGCCCTGAGCTGGGATTTGCTCACAGTCAGAAAAGGCTTTGATTTTAGCAGGTACTTGTTTGTCTCCACGCGCATCAGAACCTCTCTGGTATTCAGTGGGGCTCACAGCACCCAGAGCCCCACTAAGCATCCACAAAGCCGCACCAAGGCTCAGCCTGCTTCTATCCCAGCCAGAAGCATCATCCC